TAACAATATTGTTCAATATTGTTGACAGCTATGAACAATGTGGGCAGCAAAACATTGTTCAATCCTGTTTTCATCAGTATTGCATCAACCTGAGCATTCTTACGTGTGTAGTACAAAACAAGCCAATCAAATGCTTGGCATTGACATTTGGGCGCAACCTCTCGACAAATTGTCAACACATAAAAATTGTAATTTGTTTGCCTCGGTTAATTGCTAGAGCAATCAGCCGATCAATAATATTGTGTGACAATATTGCAATGTTGTCGCAACTGAATTACACCAGATTTGACTGTAAATAGTCTAGGCTGAGTATGGAATTAGGTAAGCATAATACTTGATGTAAAGCACATTTGATCATATAAATATCCACATGTAAAAATCATAAACAATGCACCCTTGTAAACTCAATGTATAATTAAATTGTATAAATAAAAATAATTGAAATTCATGACATAATGATGTACATGTTTACATAAAATAAATGTTTATATAAATGTTTATATAAATGTTTACATAAAATGAAACTAAGACTTTTCGATTTGGATAAATACAACGGAATATGTGCAATTAATAAAAGCCACATCATCATACCATGTGATTACCGACTAACTATTTATGACTCACGAAACTTTTAATAGAAACTTTCAAAGCAAAAATATACTTTCGACATACTTACCATCCTGTAATTTCCTTATCAGTATCCGTCTTGCATGTTTTGACGGCCGATACTGCTGAGCCATAAATAAATGACACGACAAGGAAAACGCGCAGAAATAAAGAAAATATGCCCAACATAATTGCACAGACCAGCAGCCTAAAAATGCGAGGTATTTCTCTCTTTTATGTAGTCCATATCGAAGGAAGATGGCTGTAAACTCATCAGAATAACAATACAACTCATTTATCTACGTTTAAGTGTATTGTATTTTTGCCAAATCCACCAATAGCAATTTCCAAAGATTTCAAATTCCCCCTATTGTTCGAGTCACGCCGAGGTAACTCGGTGCCAAAAACATATCTTGTTAATATTTAGAATATCTGAAATTGTTCCTCCATAATCTGTGATTCTCCGACGAATTTCCTGCTTTGTTTTATAAGGAAAGTGTTTGCAAGTAAGGTCTACAGTAAACTGGCAGTCTTTGAGAAACAACACCATGATAAACTGGTGCAACTTGCAAAACTATTAAAAATTTCAATGAACAATATTTCAATATAAAAATGACGTTATTTTTGTCATTTCACTTCCGTCTTCCGGTTGCAAGACCGAGGTTGATGTTATTTGTAGAGGCGATTGCTGAGCTACACAATACTCAGGGCGCTTATATATATTGCATGACCCTTTCACACTATTGCGTATCGTACTAGCGTATACCAGCGTATGAAAAATCTCACTCATACGCCGGTTTACGCTAGGGGTACGTTATGCATAGGTTGTATACGTTTCAAGCACGGTCGCGTACGGTGGCATATAGACTTTCCAGGGTCCTTCCAGATGTACGGTACTCATACGCTGGCATTTCAGAGGATTTTGTGCGTATGAAAATTATTTCATTAATTATCATACGCTTCTCTCATACGCAATAGTGTGACAGGGCCTTAAAACTTAATTTTAACTGGATAGCTCTATCAGTTCGAAACTGTTCTCGATGAAGATCCAGTAAGGATCATCTCTTATTGATCCAGTGTTACTACAGGAAGAAACCGAAGCTAAACTAGTAACTTTATTTATACTGGATAGCTCTATCAGTTCTGAACTGTTCTGCCTAGATCCTGTAAGGATGATCTCTTATTGATTCAGTGTTACTATACAGGAAGAAACCTAAAGTAAATTAAACTAACTTGATTTATACTAGATAGCTCTATCAGTTCTGAGCCGCTATTCTTCCTGGAGGTCCAGCAAGGATGATCTCTTATTGATCCAGTGCTATTACAGGAGGGCCTAAACTAACTTTATTTATACTGGATAGCTCTATCAGTTCTAAACATAGGCGTACCGGGCGGGGTGGCGGTGGGGGCTACCGCCCCCCCCCAGTTTTTTGGGCAGTCGGGCAATATTCGATTAACAGTCGGGCAATTTTGGTTTGTTATAAAAATAAATCGGACAAATTCTGTCAATTTTTTCGAAAATTTAGTCAATTTTGTGGCCAATGTAGTGTTTT